ACACACACCCCAATTCCCCCCCCGGGGAAAGGGGGGGAGGCTAAGGGTGGGGGGGAGACTGGCCGCCCTTAAAGGTGGCCCCCCCTGGCAAGCCGGGCGCTCCTCGCCGGCCCGCCTCTCAGCATCTCTCCCCCGGCTGGGCTGGGCGGGAGGTTCCGCATTCCTCCGGCCAGTAAGCGCATTCTGCCTTGAATCAGAACGAGAAAGAAAGCGAGAGAGAGAGAAGGAGGAAAAAAAATTATTCCAACTCCCCCCCCCACGACGCAAGCCTGCAACACCACCTCGCCTAAAAAAAAGGGGAAAAAAAAACAGAATTTGGCCACCGGCGCCCCCTCGTGGCCGCCGCGGCTTCCTACAAGCGGGCGCGGCGCGGGAAGGTCGGACGCGGGGCTGAAGGGGAGTATCTATCGGTCTGTCTGGCCTTCGCCGCTTGGAAGGAAAAGACAGTAACTCGCCTTACCTTGCCGACAGCCAACGCGGTTAGGTACGGTCCCCGTTACACAACCTCCCCCTTTGCTCACTTTTCAACCGGGACAATGGTCGTTACTTTTCGTTACTTTTCTGGAACAACACCAAGGTGTTACAAGGAACTGCCCTGCAGTCTAGAAACGACATGCTGAGTGAAGCCAAACATTCCCAAGTTTAAAAATCAATAAAACCGCATACACATCCCTTGACCATTCTAATGAGTACAGCTCACTGGCTGTTGTGATTTCTTGTAATGAATTCCAGTAACTGCAGTGTAATGAAGCTACATCATGACTGCAGTGTAACAGGGATAACTTCAAGCCAAGAGTTTAAGGCAGTTGCTTCGGGGACTACATCTCCCAGTATTCCCCAACAGCATGGGCCATGGACAGGAGAGGACGAATTACAAGACCCTGTGCGTCCAATAACAATTAGAGAATTGAATCGGGTCTTGAAAAAATATTTGTTTCCTCGTATATGGTTTCTTGATCGAAACATCCAGATCCTAGTATAATTATGGATTGTTAAAGATGCAACAATCAGTAATACTTAAATGTCACAGATATGTTGCAAGAAGAAAGGAAATTATATCTCCTTCATGTACGGTTTTGCCTGTCTGTCTGTCTGTCTCATTTGTCGACCACCTTGCTCCCGATAAGGGGACTCAGGTATTAAAAAGAGAATTAAGAACATAGTTAAAGTTGTACATGAAAAAAAAAACTATAAAACTGATTAAAATACATTGATGATGAACAACATATAAAATGTTTAAAACTAGGGTAAAAGGTAAAGGTTCCCCTTGACAATTTTTGTCCAGTCGTGTTCGACTCTAGGGGACGGTGCTCATCCCGGTTTCCAGGCCATAGAGCCAGCGTTTTGTCCGAAGACAATCTTCCGTGGTCACATGGCCAGTGCGACTTAGACACAGAACGCTGTTACCTTCCCACCGAAGTGGTCCCTATTTAGCTACTCGCATTTGCATGCTTTCGAACCGCTAGGTTGGCGAGGAGCTGGGACAAGCGACGGGAGCTCATTCCG